GCAGTGTCCAGAGACTGCAGAAGGGCCTGCGGCGCGCGTGGTCGCCGCTGGGCCGGCTCTCTCCACAGTGTCCAGAGGCTGCATGAGGGTCTGCGGCGCGCGTGGTCGCCGCTGGGCCGGCTCTCTCCGCAGTGTCCAGAGACTCACGCACGCACTCACTCACTCACTCCACTCACTCACTCCACTTTACATCCTGCTAGCACTGCCCGCCGTGGTCGGGATAAGACCACTTGATAGCTTTGATGATCGTTTCGAGTGTGTTACGTTTTGAAGGTCTCATGCGGATCTGATCGCAAAATCCAGAGCCTCCAAACTTCTCTCTCCGCCTCCTTCTCTCTCTCTCTCTCTCTCGTCCCTCTCATCCTTGTTCATCACATCGTCAGACACTTTATCACACACCCACACACACACGCACGCCATCTTACCACACACACGCACACACCTCCTCCCTCCCCTCCTTCTCATCCTCGTCCATCACATCATCACTTATACTACACGTCTTAGCACAACCGCCTCATATACCTTCTCTCCTCACACTTCGTTCTTGACTTTTCATCTCACTACTCCGTCTCCCATGTGATGTTCATATACAATTGAAATTTGTAAAACTTATCATGTGGGGTTATCCGGTCCTTTTATTAAATGAGTCTTCTCCAGTCTCCGGCACCTCCGCCTGCCGCCCAGCGGCCACACAAACGTTGCGCTTCCACCCAGGCAGACTGGGCATCAGCCTGGGCACGGACGGCAGGTCAGCAGCTTTCAGGCGGAGCTCGGATTGAACCTAAAACTGAATGCACAGCATTCAGGGCTATTGAAATAGAGAGGCACCTTATTTAACTCATGGGAAGTGGAAACACCAACACTAGACCCAGTGGTTACCCCATTCTCATGCATATGATCATATGATCATATTACGTATGTGTATAGTATGACATTTCAGCCACTTCCAAAACCAGCCCAATGACTTCGCTGCTTTCTGGGTCACCTTGCAGGTGGGTGGGTCCTTCAATGACCCTGACCGTGCCGATCTTCGGAGGATCTACACTCTGACCTACTAAGATATGAAAGTGGATGCTCCATCCACTAGACCATGCTCCATCCATCCACTAAGATATGAAAGTGGATGGCTTAGGCCCCGGAAGAGCATTTTGCTCCAAGGGGGAGTTTGCTCTACGTCCATGTGAATCATGTGGATGTGAGTGGGAGAGATTGTTACAGTACACTCAAACAAAGGATGAATGAGTTCCGACCTCCACCCTGAATAAGTTGAGCCCCATGTGGTTGCCCCCACTCCAAGGGTGGTAGACGTTACCGAGTGGTGTCCAGAGTGCAATGCCAAGCCACTCGGCGTACGTAGTCCACCTGCGCCAAGGTGGATCAAACCAAAAAAGAGAAGGTTGACATAGAGGTGTTGATGAGGTTGAAATGAAGCCTGGGTTTTTCTCAGCTCAAAGGAATTTTGTGATCATTCGTACTTTGGGTGACAGCCCCATGTAATCACAGATCCTGAAGAGGACCTCAACAATTTCGGTGTGAAGCGAGTCTGCCATCTACTCACCGCCTGAATCTGAGATCTGCAATTAAAGTGATAAACCATTGCAACTTGTTCAAGGATCTTCAAGGGTTCGTCTTGCCTGCTAAACATCAACAGAATCTTCACATGTCTGGAACGAATGTTCATCCCGAGACCAGCAGGATCCGTTTCGCAGCTTCTGCAGCTTCGGCAACGGACCACGTGTGCCACCGTGTGGCCCCGCCGGGTCCTTTGGTCCTCCGCGCCTCGAGTAAGGTGGCCAGGAAGTCTCGGACCTCTTTGGGTCCTCGCGGTTGAAGGTATTGGCCCTTCTCCGCTCGTTTGGGGAATTCCTCGGTCGAGTCGAACCGACCGATCCGGCAGGATCCAACGCAGGCGCAACGCAGGCGGCGGCTGCGTGGAGGTGTCTTCACAAAGCAAGCAAACTCTCGAGAAATTGGCAGAATTGACAAATATACATAGTTAATTATAGTTATATGATGTTATAAGACTTTCCTCCATCAGTGCACAGGTAGACTAACTACTCTTTTTGTAGCTACCCTACATCCAAGTAGAGAGACAAAAGCTTTAAATCTTAGACAAGGTTCACTGTAGCTGAAGGCAGGTTTCCCTTCCAACATCAGGAAGAGCAAACAGCCCACCGACCAGCAATCTGATTTGATTTCCTCAGCTGACTGAAACCTCGAACCGTCCTTCACCGCAAGCAGAACTTTGTCTTGCGAACTTGTTAGTTACTGTACAATTTTCGACTGTAGCTCCTGGCATTACTGCTACTAGTAGTAACTAGTAACAAGAAGCTACTAGGTGGAGGCCATCGCTATTAGGTTGGAGGCCATTACTACTAGTAACAAGAAGCCACTAGTACCCAGGCTCGATGTTTCGACCGCCGTTCGACTCGGCCAACCTCTCCAAGGGTCAATTGGTCGGTCCGTGCTGGACATCGCCTCCGAACGCTACGGTGGAGAACGGTGGAGACGGTGGGTCTACTGAGACGTAGACTGCTGTGGATGGATTTGAGCACGAAAGACACTCCACCAGGTGCTTCTACCATTTGCTTCAAGCGCTAAAGATTTGCTTTTATGAGTAGTGCATGTCTTCAAACTATTTGTACAAATAGTAACAAGTGCCTTACTAGTAGTAACAAGAAGCTACTAGAAACGACACCTCCAACGACACCTCCAACGACACCTCCACCACATAATTCTACCCAGCCGGGTCTCCGGACCTGTTCCTGCAAGTGTTTCTCACCGAAACACTTGCGATCCTCCAGTGTTTGTTCGCCCGATCTACCCCATCCCTAGCCCATCCTGTGAATCCAATCCGCTGCATTTCCCCAAGCATTTCTCGTCCCAACCTGCCGTTTCAACTCAGGTGCCATGTAGCTGGCACTGCCCGGCAAGGGGCCCTGGCCAGAACCCATCCAATCGAAACTCGCTGAGTCCAGTTTTGACCCACCCGACACATCCTCCACCAGGAAGGCAGGCAAGTTGAAAAAACGAAATGGTGGAAAGAATGCCATAGTCATTGTCGTGTGGGAAACCTCTAGTCAGGGGCAAAAGGAGAGCCGGAGTACCAAATCCTGCAGGGGATACATGGACAGCAACGACTTGACGCAGAAAATTCTGGCCTTCCGACACCAAATGGCCCCGCCTGGGGGCGATCGATCATCACATTGTTCACGTGCAATCGAGAACTCCTTGGTTCCAAGTCGGTGCGAACGAACTCCTGCGGCTTTCCAACCCTTCCGTCCAATGTACTGCGGCCGGCCGGCCGCATGAGAAACTCAAGACTTGTCCAAGCCACAGCAAAGACCTAAGCCAAAGGTCCACCTCTGATTCTGACTCCAACTGCAAGCAGCTAAGCTACCCATGACCAATTTCATCAAGGTTGACAGGTTGACCTCTTCGCCCTCTTCGGTGCTTTGGAGAGGCGCCCACATCTGCCATTTAATCCCGAGTACCTATTAATAAACACTCCCCAAGTTAAAAAACACCACGTCCGAACCCCTAAATTCGGTTTATATTTGGTTTTAAATTGCCGCCCTTTCAAGCCGCTACTAAACTACCAACATGGTCGATTTTGGGGGTAGTTTTTTTAATTAGGTTCCCCAAAACTCCACCATGACACGCCGCGCTTACACCAGCAGGCTTTCCTTCCCTCAATGGCACGGACTCACGCAAACGCACTTGCCACCGAGGTCATGCAACACCGCATGGCACAGCGACATCACCTTTCGAAAGCTTTAGCTGTTAGTCTACTGAAGAATCACTATTCCAATGAAGGTTTTTGTAGGGGAAAAGGAAGACCCTTCGATCTGGCGGTTTTTTGCATTTTTGATACGAGTTCAATAAAAGATTTTATATAATATTTTCCTGGATTACTTTTTGGTTTTGAAACTCTTTCCAGGTGACCCTATTTTGGCCCCCCCCGATTTCAGGGACCCCCTAATAGAAAAAATGCGACCGAGGTTTTTTTAATAGGGGGGGGGGGCCGTGTTTATTAATAGGAGGATGGGATTACTTCCTTTCGCTATCATCAACCCCCTTCAGAGCCCTTCGGTCACGGTGTCGCCGGTGTCGCTGGTCCAAGAGTCTGAGAGAAGTTCCCCAAGACCAAGTTGGACTCCACGATTCGCCTCGGCGCCCGCAGCTTCCTTCGTTCGGCACGTCGCCGAAGGCCCAAACGTCGCCCAGTCGGTGGTTTCAAGGCGTTTGAAGGTTGGTTAAAGGCCGGTAAAGGTAGCTGGCTTTCATCTTGGTTAAATTGCTGTTCTACATCCTTGATATTCCACCAGCTCTGGAACGCCACCGCGGGCCTCTTCCACACTGTACCAGGTGAGACCAATCTAAGACCTGCTCAAATCGACAGTCGCTACATTCAAAGGTTCAAGCGAAAGCAAACCAACTGAGCGTTTCCGAAAACTTCTATCCTATGTCGTAACAGATTGACTTTGGCGAAAGTTTTTTGCGGCCCTTACGCGACTGCGGTTCTGGCTTACGCGGAGGGGTTGAGTCAACACGTGTTATACTACGTGTCACGAACCTTCTGAAAGACTTCTCAGCCAGTCACACAGTGGGGCCAATTAGCATTCCCACTTGAATGTCAACATGTGGTTCTGCCTGCCTCTCATCTTGCACCCAACATGTGATTCTGCCTCTCATCTTGCACCCTGACAAAGTCTCAAAAGGGACAGGACAAAGTGGAAGGTGAAGGAATGGTCCAATTCGGACAAGTATCTTGTATGTCTAGAGTTAGAGTCAATCTATAGTTCAAACCTTGCTGTCCAAACCAATTGTTCGCAGCTTCTGCAGCTGCTGAGCAACCTTACGCCACTGGAGGTTTTGCTTAAGCCCCTTGTGACATAACGTGCTTAATTAAGCAGCTTCACGTCGGGCGAGAACGCCGAAGCTTGCGCAGCCGTTGGATGACCGCAGCGATCGCGCTGTTGGGGTTCATCGAAGGGCTCGACTTAGGAAGTCGGAAGAACAAGAGACCCGGAGACCCTCCCCCAAGCCAACCAAATCCATCACAACAAACAATAACAATGCCAAGGAATCTCCACCATCCCACTCATTTCATTCCAAATGTACACAAAACAAATATCCGAAACTTAAAACAACACGACAACACCTTCATCCCCCTTGATCCACCTGCCTGTCCCAACATCTCCCCATCCCATTCTATACAATAATATATATATATATATATATATTAGGTTCTTTTTACAAATCCTGTTTATGTTGTTTTTGTTTGTGTTGGTTAACTTGCTTTGTTCTCAACCTGTATGTTCGAACAACAGATCTGACAAAACTAAATCATGTAGTCACTGTAGTCATAGTCTACAGCTTACAGCATATAGAAACCACAAAAGAATCGAACATACATGGGAACCTCCATCCTTACATCGGCGCCCATGGACGTCCTTTCTTCCTTCGCACCCAAGCGGCTCGCTGTCCAAGATGCAGCTCTCGGGTCTTATGGAGCGATGAAGGATGCGCTGCTCGTGCAAAAAGGACCTCGGGTGGAACCCCGCTCCAGCCACGCGGTTTCCGGGGGGCGCCCGAAGCTGCCCCCTTTGGGGGCCGAGTGAGGGGTCACCCACCCGTGGCTGTCCTTTTCGTGGCGGTTCTTCTTTGAGTTTGGGGGGTGGGGAGGCTCCGAAGGAAGGGTGGGGAAGGGAAACTCCGTTTCTCTGGGCAAGCGAAGAAGTCTTGGAGGTGTGCACCCATCAATTTTTGGTGTAGTAGATGGAGAGCAGAATCTCGGAGCAGCGTCGTGGGGCGTTCCAAGTACAGCATGGCTGGGGCAGTTCAGCTCATCCGATTGTGTCTCCAGTGTCAGAACAAGCCAAAAGGGTTTCCAATGTTTCCAAGGCAAGTGCATATCAAACTTGAGGCCGAGGGTAGGTGACGAAAGCTAGCAGGGGTGCATCC